TTAGGATGTTTGGTCAGCATGGACGGGTTGGACTGTACGGTCTGTTTCCATGCTATACAGCTTTATGACTCTAATCACCTTGCATCAGTGCTTGCTATCTCTCTGCCCAAAGAAAAATATTTTTCTCTCAGTCCAGTTGGCTTATCTCAAGGGCCATGCAAAGCAGGAGGGAGAGAGATTGTAGCCAAGGATAGGCTACAACCAATTGCAATGGTGGAGCAGCCATCGAAGGCCATACAAAATTTCCTCTCATTTTTATCAGAAGCAGCAAGACAAGAAATTATTTTATTTTGAAATCAACCCTGACCTTCCTCCTCCTCAGACAGTCCTTTGGGATCAAAGATTACTTTAATAATAAAAAAAAGGCCTCTTCTGGAATACTGTGTCCATTTCTGGTTGTCCAGTTATAGGGAGGACGTTATGAAGCTGGAGAGGGTTCAGAAGAGACTTGCCAGGATGTTGCTGGGTTTGGAAGGTTTGAGTTATAAAGAAAGACTGGATAGGCTGGGACTTATTTCACTGGGGCGTAGGTGGTTGAGAGGCGACCTATTGAAGTTTATAAAATAATATGGGGTAAGGTTAATTGTAGGTGTCTTTTCCCTTGGGCAAGGGATTTCAAGACTAGGGGGTCACATTTTTAAGGTGAAGGGGAGAGATTTAAAAAAGATACGAAGGGCAAATTTTTAACACAGAGTGTGGAATGAACTGCCAGAGGAAGTGACGGATGTGTACAGTTACAGTGTTTAAAATACATTTGAATAAGTTCATGAAAGGAATGGTTTAGAGGGGTACGAGCCAGGAGGAGGGAGATGGGGCTGGTTTAGTTTGGGATGATGTTTGACATGGACTGGTTGGACCAAAGGGTCTGTTTCCGTGCTGTGTGACTGTATGTCTTTCTCTATGCCAAATCCCCTCTCAGCCCCATGCTGACTGACATCGGAACGTAATCTGGAAACACCTGAGTGTCAAAGCACTCATTTTTGTTTCTAAATCCCTCCATAGGTCTGACCCAATCTCTGTGACCTTGTCCAGTGTTACAAGCCTCCCAGATCCCTGCTGTCCTTCAAATCCATCCCCGACAGCATCCTCAGATTTCCATTGGGGGCTATGCCTTTAGCTGCCTGGTCCTCTAGCTCTGGAAATCCCTCCCCCTAAACTTCTCACGGCTCCAAGATGCTCCAAAAAACATGTTTGACACAGCTTTCAGTCACCTGTCTAAATATCGTTTATGTGGCTCAGTGTCAAATGTTTTGGTAATTTTCCAACCTTTCTTATGTTCTTACAATGTCCTCAAAGTGGCTTGGAACGCCCAGCAATGGTAAAGATGATGTTGGAGTTTTGTTAAGGTAACCAACAGAGTCAAATCACATTGAGATTCCATGTAGAGTGTTTTTAATCAGCACTTTTAAGAACACATACCATCACATTTCTCCACAAAAACAGTGTCAGTGTTTTTTCAGATGCTGCCAGACCTACTGTGTTTCTCCAAGGATTTTTGCTGCGATTGGCCAATACATTCTGAAACGATGGACTGTGAGATTACTGCAAATTGTATTGTTTTTTTTTAAAATCGACAAAATCAATTTGTAAAGTCTAGTGGAAGATCCGCAAAATAAGGCTTCATTTGGGTTGGTAAGTTAGTCCAAATACTGAGGTGTGGGAAATTTATCAGGTTCCCAAGAACTTCAACTGAGCAAGAGAGTGCTTTACTGGAGGTATTGAGTTTCTGTTTCTTTTGATTCCCTCGGTTTGTAAAACAGAAACCAAGTCCAGAGAGGGTTGCTAGGTAACCATCAGCTCAAGTCCCCCACAGTCACCTGCAAAGCCAGGATTTCCAGCAATTAAGGACTTCCAACAGTGCCTGCTCCCTCAGCGCTGACCCTCCGACAGCGCGGCGCTCCCTCAGCGCTGACCCTCCGACAGCGCGGCGCTCCCTCAGCGCTGACCCTTGGACAGTCATGTAAAAGCTGACCGTTCTAGTCAGTCATCACTTACCAATGGGGCAATTATGGTTAATTCCTCCTAAATAAGGGAAAAATATATAGAAATAACCATTTATTAAAATATTGATGGCTTAAAAAAAGACTCCCAACTTGTTTTTCTGTTGAAATGCTCCTGAGAATTTTTTTTTTTTATTAATCACATTTAAACTCTCAGGGTGATTTTTGGCTTTCAGTTTCGTTTCCTAAGTCATCCACTCAAAACCAGAACTTCTCTTCAGCTGGCTTGTCGAAAGTGTTTGTGTCTCATGTTTACAGCGACAAACACATCCGGTCCTCTGGGTTCGGCCAGCAGTAAAAGTCAACAAAATTTTGGGGCACCAGGTCGCACCTGAACAAACCATACAGAGCCAGAAATCAATTCCCCTGCCCCACTGCCTCCCCTCTCTCAGACCAAAACCACTTCCATCTCAGTCTATCCTTCCCTCCCCATCTACCTCTGTACCTTCCATCACAGGCTGCTCAGCAAGATGTTTCTTGCCTCTCCCTGGAGGGTCAGAACCAAAATACGAGACACTACAGGTATCAGTGTTGCCGGTATGTTAATGGGAAAGGTTTCTAATCACCCTCAATGGTCTCCCAATCAAAGAATAATGACACACAGGAATGTACTGAACTCATCATGCCTCTGACAGAGCTCACTTGTTTCCCCCCACCCCCGCTTGCCCCCATAGTTTTGCAATTCCACCCTCCCCCCTCCCCTTTATTTAATTCACTGCCAAGAATTCCTAAGGCATCTGCTTCCGGGCAACATATTCTAGATCACAAAAACGTGCTGTGTTCAAAACCAACTCTCTGAATTGCCTCCTCTGGTTTACTTCAATGTGTTCTGTGGTAACTGACTTCCCTGCCACTGGAAACAGTTTAATCCGTCCCTCGTGAACACCTCAATTACATTTTCCCTTCATCCCCTCTGCTCGGAAGAGCCATAAAGTCATACAGGCACCAAAACAGACCTTTGGTCCAACCAGTCCATAATCCCAAAATAAACCAGTCCCACTTGCCTGTTCCCGGCCCATATCCTTCCAAACCTTTCCTATTCATGTACTTATCCAAATGTCTTTTTAAAGTTGTAACTGCACCCACATCCATCACTTCCTCTGGAAGTGCATTCCACACACAAACGACTCGCTATGTAAAAAAATTTGCCCCTCAAGTCTTTTTAAATCTCTCTCTCACCTTAAAGATGCGCCCCTAGTCTTGAAATCCCCCACCCTCGGGAAAAGACACCAGCCATTCACCTTATCTATGCCCGTCATGATTTTATAAATCTCCCCTCAACCTCCGACGCTCCAGGGAAAAAAGTCCCACCCTATGGTTACCACTGATGCGTCACGGCGCCAGAGACCCGGGATCGATCCCACCCTCGGACAACCAGCTGTGTGGAGTTTGCACATTCTCCTCGTCTGCGTGGGTTTCCTCCGGGTGCTCCGGTTTCCTCCCACAGTCCAAAGATGTGCAGGTTAGGGTGGATTGGCCATGCTAAATTGCCCCATAGTGTCTAGGGATGTGCAGGTTGGGTGGGTTAGCCATGGGAAATTCAGGGTTACAGGGATAGAGCAGTGGGGCGGGGATCTGGTTGGGATGGTGTTCAGAGGGTTGATGTGGACTCGATTGGTTGAATGGACTGTTTCAACACTGTAGGGATTCAATGATCCAGCCTCTCCTTATAACTCAAACCCTCCATTCCTGGCAACATCCTGGTAAATCTCTTCTGAACCCTCTCCAGTTTAATAATATCCTTCCTATAACAGGGTGACCAGAACTGGACACAGTCCTCCAGAAGAGGCCTCACCAATGTCCTGTATAGCCTCAAAATGACTTCCCAACTCCTATACTCAAAGGACTGAGCAATGAAGGCAAGTGTGCTAAATGCCTTCTTAACCACCCTGCCTACATATGATGCAAACTTAAAAGAATTATGTACCTGAACCCCTAGGTTTCTCTGTTCTACCACACTACCCAAGACCCTACCATTAATTATATAAGTTCTACCATAATAAATAACAATCAGAATAATCTGGTTTCACAGTTCCTGTCCCAATAACAGATGGCCCTCATTCCTGGACCACTCTACACATTAACCAAAGTCTGTATTTATAGCAACAAAAACAGAAATTGCTGGAATAGCCCAGCAGGTCTGGTAGCATCTGTGGAGAGAAATCAGAGTTAACAGTGTTTTGGGGAAGGTCACTGGACCCAAAACATTAACTCCAAATTTCTCTCCCGCAGATGCCTTTTCAGCAATTTCTGTTTTTATTTCTGATTTCCAGCATCCGCAGTTCTTTTGGTTTTCTGTTTATAGAAATGAGAGGCGATCTTATCGAAACAGAGAAGATTTGTAGGAGTCGGACATTTGAGGCACCAGGAGGGTCCGATAACTGAACGGACTCCCACTTAACTTTAGCATAAAGACCTCAGATGGTGGTCTTTCCCTACCGTGCCTTGGTGGTAGCTGCCCCAAGCTTTAGTGCGTCCCTCAGCATGTAGTCCTGGACCTTCGAATGTACCAGTCTGCAGCACTCGGTTGGGGTCAAATCCCTGCTCTGGAAGACCAACAAGTTTCAGGCAGATCAGAGTGTCATTCACTGAGCCAATGGTCCTCCAGGCACAGTTGATGTGCGTCCTGGGGAACAGAGCATAGAGCACAGAGCTGCTCGTGACTAATCTCAGCGAAAAACCTTGGCTATCAAGTCCTGGAGTGGGACTCAGTTTCAGAGCTTCGAGCTCAGAGTTACGGGATCCTACCATCGCCTCATGAGACCACCTTAAATACAAGGTCAATTCCTGATACATCCAATGAGGACAAAGTGAGGAGAACTTGGATCTCGCTCCCACGGGGAGTGGTCAAAGTGAACAGCGTTGATACTGTTCATAAACACGCAAGGGAGAAAAGAACAGGAGGAATGTTTTGATAGGATGGGATGAAGAAAGGGTGGGAGGAGGGTTGTGCATGGAGCAGAAACATTAGGCCTGTGTCTCTGTGCTCCATACACTTACACAAAACCTCAAGGAGCAAAGCTTGTCTGGTTTACAACGAGACCAAGTAAACTGTAAAGTGATATTGGTCCCATTGTATCATAATACTCTGGGCATTGTGTTCAGAGGAATCTAAAACCAGGAATAACTTAAATTACCACAAGTAACATTATTCAAAGAGTCATTCACCACTCAGCCATTTTTCTCACCACGAGTTGACCTTGTTATGCCAGACGCAGAGGAAACCAATCTCTGGCTGCCATAAATAGAACCTGCTCCTGCAAAAGGCACGTGACAATTTGCAAAGGTGACCTCAGATTAACACCAGACACTGGAAAATAGCTGCCAGTGTTACACACACACACACACAGAATGTCCACCAAAGCAGGTGCTAACATGACCCAGCTCATACCAAAATAACCAAGTCACTGCACATGTGTGGATGTAGAACATGAGTCCATTCAACCCATCCAATTACTGTTCTGCCATTCATTTACATTGTACCTCAATCTCACTCGCTTGTCTATTTCAATTCAAAAGGGAAAAATTGTATTTGTTACGTTTTTCATAGACACAGGTCTTCCTAAAACATTTTACACCCAATAAAATACTTTGTTGAAGTGTGGTTGTATGAAACGCAACAGCCATTCAGTACAAAGCAAGCTCCCACACAAACAAGAATGAAAGCGAGCAGACAGTCAGTTTGTATTTGCTGTTGGGAGAGATAATGTTTGCCAGGGCACTTCCTGAAAGATCACCATGGAATCCTTACAGTGCAGATAGAGGCCATTAGGCCCATCAAGTCCACACCAATCCTCCAAACAGCATCCCACCCAGACCCAGCCTCCTACCCCATCCCTGTAACACTATATTTTCCCATGGCTAACTCACCTAATCTACACATCCTGGACACTAGGGGCAATTTAGCACGGCCAATCCACCCTAGCCTGCACATCCCTGGGCACTATGGGACAATTTAGCACGGCCAATCCACCCTAACCTGCACATCTTTGGACTGTGGGAGGAAACCGGAGCACCCGGAGGAAACCCACACAGACATGGGGAGAATGTGCAAACTCCACACAGACATTCACCCGAGGGTGGAATCGAACCCGGGTCCCCGGCCCTGCAAGGGCAGCAGCGCTAACCACTGAGTCACCATGCCCATGAGACAGGGTCGCCCACTCTGCCTGAGTGCCCAGGAGTCTGGCACATGTGCCCAGGCTCTTTGAAAAGCAACGCAGCAAATTGTAAAACGCAAAAGGGTTATGCTCAGGATGGGATGAACGAGATTTAGAAAATCTGAGTGGATGGCAAATGTGACCGGGGGTTGAAGTTGCACATGGCCAGCTAACCTTAATGACCCAGCCACAGGGAAGACAGCCAGGCCCAGACTGACGGGAGTGGTCGGGGGAGGGGGAGGGGAGATATTATTCACAATTCTGAGACAACGTTTCACCAGGGACCTGGTTTGCGTGCCAAACAGTTCCCGGATCTGCAAACGGAGTTGGGGTGGAACAATGCGGCTCTGCTGGTTTGTATTGTAAGGGCCCCTGTCAAATTAAAACAGCGACAGCACTGACATCTCAGACACATGTCATCTTAACGCAACTCCCCTGGAGACCAGCCAAACAGACACAGACTTCTGGATTCGAGCTGGGCTCCTCCTTGTGGAACCCAGAGGGCTGTCTGCAGACTGTTTTTATGCATTTTCCAATCACACAGGGCGGAGATAGTGAATTTGTTGCTGGACTAGTAACCCATGCAGCCAGGTAACGGTCGGGGGAATCTGCGTTTGATGGAGCATGGGACACAAATTCAATAAACACCTGGGAATTAAAAGTCTATTGATGATCACAGAACCAACGTGTGATTGTTGTAAAAATCCAGCGGCTTCACTATGTCATTGACAGAAGGAAATCTGCTGGTCTTAGCCTTACAAGTGACTCCAGACCCACAGGCCAACGGGGTTAACTCTTAACTATCCTTCAGAATGGCCCGAGCAAGGCACTCAGTTCAAGGCCAATTAGGGATGGGCAACAAATACTGGCCAGGGATGCCCACCTCACATGAACGAATAAAATAAGTTGCCAATACTGCCAGTATTTGCCACACCATCAAACCAGTGCAACAGGTATCTGTTTCCTCCTAATGTTGGGGATGATCAACACAACTCACGCTGGAAGCCAGGATTAAACATCCAAAGAGTACAAGGTGGTTGCCGCAAGGGGTGGTGGGGGGACGGAAATGATTTGGAGCGGCATGGTGGCTCAGTGGTTAGCACTGCTACCCTCACAGGGCCAGGGACCTGGGTTTGATCCCAACCTCGGGCAGCTGTCTGTGTGGAGTTTGCACATTCTCCCCATCTCTACGCGGGTTTCCTCTGGGTCCCTCCCACAGTCCAAAGGTGTGTAGGTTTGGATTGGCCGTGGGAAATCTGCCCATAGTGTCCAGGCTAGGTGGATTGGCCATGGCAAACGCAAGGTCACTGGGATAGGGGATGGGGCTGGGTAGGGTTGGTGGGTAGGTGCGAAGGTGCGAGTTCCATGGGCCAAATGGCCTGCTTCCATGTAGAGATTCTCTGAAAGAGCAAGATGAACTGGGGAGGAGTGGCCAAGGGAAATGAGATGTTTATGAGGGGTGCGGCAGTAACTGGGTAAGTGGATGAATCGACCCTCTCAGGCCACAGTTGGTGGGATTCTGCAACACCACTTGCCCTGACCTCTCTCAGTAGGCGTTCAGCCCAACAGCACCTCAGTTTAACATTCCCCTCCTACAGTGCAGCACTCCCTGGCATGGAATGAGACCAGATTTCTGATCTTAACTTCCTCAAACAGGACAGGCATTGAAGCACCCCCACTCCCAACCAAAGGGCTGGGCTCTGATTATGAAGGTTCTGCTGCCTTGCTCTTCCTACCCCAAAAGAAATGAGTAGCTTTCTAATTATCCTCTCAAATCTCAGCGCTGTGAACGATTCCATTAAGACTTCAACTTGTGCTGTTGCAATGTCCTTCCCCACAATGATCTGCATCTGCCACCTGCTGGCCATTCAACACAAATACCAACTGACTCCAAATCCAGAGTCGACCCCAGCAGCCCCAGGGTCACCTCCCGAGGGCTATATTATATACAGCAGGTCTACTCGGTCAGAAACTTAAAAAAAAAAACTTATTCACAGGATGTGGGGCATCGCTGGCTAGGCCAGCATTTATTGTTAGGATGGCAGTATAAGAGACAACCACATTGCCGTGGGTTTGGAGTCACATGTCGGCCAGGCCAGGTAAGGATGGCAGTTTCCTTCCCTAAAGGATGTTAATGAATCAGATGGGTTCTGACAATCAATAATGGATTCATGGCCATTGTTTAGATTCTTAATTCCAGATTTTTATTGAATTCAAGTTGCACCAGGATTCGAACCCTGGTCCCCACAACGTTATCAGGGTCTCTGGATTAACAGCACAGCGATAATACCACGGGGCCATCACCTCCCCCTGGCTTCACTCGTTTTGTGTGTGTGGGTAGGGGAGGGGTGTGTGTGTGTATGTTGGTGTGCAAGGGGGTACATTGGTGAGTGCGAGAGTGGCATGTGTAGTCCTACGCACACACTCATCCCCACCCAGAAGCTTCAGCAGCGAGGCATACTCCAAGGGTCAGTGTGTTCATTACACAGCCACACAGGCAGAGCACCAACTTGCCAGAACACCTGATTATAGGCAGCAGGAGTGTTTCCTAGTCAGTCTTGTGATCAGAATGGTTCCCTTCAAGCTGCAGACTCAACAGTCTGCCTTTCAGGAAGATTCACTACCCAAACAGATGAGGATGTGCTTTCCATATCTAGCACCCCGTGAGGCAGTCCCCTGGCATGGTACAAGAGTGCAGACTCATAGCAGTGAAGGCGGCATTTGGTACGCTTGCTTTCATTGGTCAGTGCATTGAGTATAGGAGTTGGGAGGTCATGTTGCAACTGTACAGGACATTGGTTAGGCCACTTTTGGAATACTGCATTCAATTCTGGTCTCCCTGTTATAGGAGGGATGTTGTAAAACTTGACAGGGTTCAGAAAAGATTTACAAGGATGTTGCAGGTTTAGAGGGTTTAAGCTATAGGGGGAGGCTGAATAGGCTGGGACTCAGTCTCTGACACTTCCCTGGAGCGTCGGAGACTGAGGGGTGACCTTACAGAGGTTTATAAAATCATCAGGGGCATGGATAGGGTGAATTGCCAAGGGTAGGGAAGTCCAAACCTAGAAGGCATACGTTAAAGATGACAGGGGAAAGATATAAAAAGGGACTCAAGGACCAACTTTTCACAGAGGGCGGTGCATATGTGGAACAAGCTGTGTGGAGGCTTGTACAACTACAGTATTTAAAAGGCATCTGGATGGACGAATAGGAAGAGTTTAGAGGCATGTGGGCCAATGATGGCAAAGGGACCAGATTAATATAGGATATCTGGTCGGCATGGATGAGTTGGGCCGAAGGGTCTGTTTCCATGCTGAACAGCTCTATGACTGTATTGTATCAACTTAAAACTATGAAGGTGACAATGTCACCAGAGATCTCACTCTTCCCCAGCCTCTGTTCTGCCTAGCTCAGTCTACTCGCACTGGTTCCCTGTGCCTTGCCAATTGTTACCCCTCCCACATAGCAGCCACCAAAGACTCAGATGCAGACTCCAGCCTTAGCAGTGAGCCTCACACCCTCCCGGAGGAACCCAGACCCACTTCCAGAAATTATCTCAGTACCTCCAGCTTTGTCTCCTGGTTTGGCTGTCACCCCCAGCTGCTGGCTGCACTCTTCCCTGCAGTAAATTCCCTTGTCCAGACACCAGCCAGAGTCGAGGTGTGTTCCACACACTGTGTATACATTGGCTGCAGGGGAGAGAGAGAGGGAGAGAGGGAGAGTGAGTTAGGTGAGTGAGAGTGGTAGAGTGTGATAGAGTGAGTGAGAGAGTTTGAGAAAGTCAGTGAGTGAGAGAGTGTGAAAGAGAGAGAATGAGAGTGAGAGAATGGGAGAGAACTTTTACAGCCAGACGGCTGCCTCTTAATTCCTAAGAAACAACTTGAAAGACAAAACAATGTGGTCAATTTTGGGGCCAAACAAGAGGGACTGGGAGAGTTTTAACAATACAAGGTAACCAAAGAAATGATGGAGGAAGGAAGTAAACAAACTAGCAAGTAACCTAAAAGAGAACAGTAAAAGCTTCTTTAAATACATAGAAGAGAAGAAAAAGAGCAAAGTGAACACCAGTCCCTTAGAGAATGAGACTGGGCAAATAATAATGGGGAACTTAGTCTGACGATACTATGGCATTAAGAGGCATATTTTGTCCTGTTTTTGTTTTGAAGAGAGGTTTTAAATCAGAGGTAACTGAGTTGGCTATTGAGAGCCCATTAAGTAAACAGTTTGAGAGATCTCGGGCTTTTTTTTTAAAAAAAGTTGGAACAATAGAAGCAGCCTGAATGGGTGGGGGCAGGCTCCTGCAGAATCACAATTTTCAGTTTTAGTCTGTTAGTAGCATTTGCTGGGGTCTTGAAGCTGGACACAGAGGCTGTTTTTCCCTCTCTGTTACAGCTAAAAAACTGAGGGTTCTCTTCCTGCTGCTAGAATCGCCTGTGACACAATCTGTTTTACCGAATTTCCCTTTGTCAAGGGTGTGTTTATGGGATGTTACTATATTGGAACAGTTACTGCTTAGCAGTTAAATAATCTATTATTCTGTTAAGGTTTCCATAGAGTTAAGTTCTTCTTTCTTTTGTTGTATTTTAATTATAATTATAGTGTATGAATCAAGCGTGTTTTACTTAATGGTGAGTAGGTTGACTAATTCAATTACATCTGGAACACAACACCTTACACACTTACCTTTAAAATAAGAAAAAAAACTTAGGGTCTAGACAATCTTCTGAATATATTACGAGGGGCAGAAACAGAAATTGTTGCAAAATCTCAGCAGGTCTGGCAGCACCTGTGGAGAGAAATCAGGCTAATGTTTTGGGTTGAGTGACCCTTCCTTCTCCACAGATGCTGCCAGACCTGCTGAGCTTTTCCAGCAACTTCTGCTTTCATTTCCTATTTACTGCATTCATAGTTCTTTTGGTTTTTATATTTTGAGGGGGATTTGGTTTGGTCCATAACTTTAGGATACGTTAAGAGGTATGAATAAATATTTTGCACAAGTCTTCACTATGGAAGACACTAACAGTATTCCAAAATGACTAAATGATGGGGAAACCCTGAACAAAAAAATTACTGGCATTATTTGGGGGAGGCTACAAGCAGTACAAAGGGAAACACTCATGTAAAATATTTGGATTTCCGAAAGGTGTTCAATAAGGTGTCAGGCATAATGCTACTTAATAGAAGTCCATGGTGATGGGGTTCACATATTAAAACACACACAGAAAAAGGTAATAAATAGAAGGCAGTTGGGATGAAAGGGGGCATGTTCAGGTTGACAACGTCCAACAAGGGGAGTGCCACAGGGATGAGCACTGGGCCCACCGATCTTTACAACCTGACTTGTTTCAGGGAAACGAGCATACTATCACCAAGTTTGTGGAAGACGCAAAAATAGGTGGAAAGGCGAGTAGTGAGGATGACACAAAAACAGGGGCATTATCAGAAGAAAGAGGTATGGTCACCACAGTCCCAGAGGGCCATGGGACTGATTAGAGAGAGAGAGAGAGAGTGATGGCAGGTAGTGAGTTTAACCCGAGAGTCATCATGCCTCAGGCGAGGGGAGAAGTTGAGGAAGGAAAGTCCTTCACGGTAACCTCAGTTTCAGCAGAAATTGAAGCTATGCTGTCGGTACATGGGGGGTGTCCGTTATCTCAGTTGGCTGGAGGTCTGGTTTGCGATGCAGAGGGATATAGACAGGTCAGCTGACTGGGCAAAAACTTAGTGGAATACAGAAATGTGAGGTTATGCACTTTGGCAGGAAGAGTAGAGGAGCTTAATATTGTTTAAATGTAGAAAGACTGCAGCACAGGGGGATTGGGGTCCTCGTGCTTGAAGGGCAAAAAAGCTCATGCACAAGCTCAGCAAGTGGAATGCTGGCCTTTATTTCAAAGGGAATGGAGTATAAAAAGTCTTGCTAAAACTATATAAGGCACTAGTGAGACGACACCTGCAGAGAGGTTTGGTTCCTTCATGCAAAGATCGATATACTAGCATCGGAGGGAGCACACAGAAGGTTCACTGGGCTGATCCCAGGTATGGAGGGGACTCTCCTATGAGAGGCTGAGTAGGTTGTATCTGTACTCACTGGAGTTGAGAAACATAAGAAACCTTATTGAAACATTGAAGATTCTTAATGAGAGTTGGCAGTGTAGATGTGGAGAGGTTTCTGTGCATGGAAAAGCTGCTCCCAACATTACAAATACAGTTACCTTTTGAAAGTGCAGTCACTCAGTCATATAGGACATTGGTGAGGCCATTTTTGGAACACTGCATTCAATTCTGGTCTCCCTGCTCTAGGAAAGATGTGGAACTTGAAAGAGTTCAGAAAAGACGTACAAAGATATTGCCGGGTTTGGAAGGTTTGAGCTATAGGGAGAGGTTGAATGGGCTGGGGCTATTTTCCCTGGAGTGTCAGAGGCTGAGGGGTGAGCTAATAGAGCTTTATAACATCATGGGCAGCATGGCTAGGGTGAATAGCCAAGATACTTTTCCCCAGGGTAGGGGACCCCAACACTAGAGGGGCAAAGGTTTAAGGTGAGAGGGAAAAGATTTAAAAGCGATCTAAATGGGCAGCTGTTTCACACAGAGGGTGGTGCGTGTATGGAATGAGCAGCCAGAGGAAGTGGTAGAAGATGGTAAAATTACAACATTTAAAAGGCATCTGGATGGGTATGTGAACAAGAAGGACTTAGAGGGATATGGGCCAAAAGTTGGTAAACAGGACTAGATTAATTTGGGTTATCTGGTTGGCATGGACAAGTTGGACCGAAGAGTCTGTTTCCATGCTGTACAGCTCTATGACTGTATATCTTGAATCTTGCTAAAAAGTGAGACATGTCGTATTTTACACTAGAGGAAATCTCTTCCCTACAGCAAAAATTGTTGCGATGGTTTGAATTTTCGCGTTGTGTTTGCCCTGATGAATGCAAAACGGAAGGCTTTGGTGACACAATTCATGTTCAATAATATCTTCTAGACATTAAGAAGAAGGAGCAGAATTAGGCATTCAGTTGTTTGATATGATCATGGCTGATCTCATCTCAGCATCAACTTCATTTTCCTGCCTACTCTCCATAACCCTTCAACAGATTACTAATTAAAACTCTTATCCCCTCCTCAAATTTACTCACCATCTTGGTGCCAACTGCACTCTGGAGTAGTAAATTCCACGACCATTTGAGAGAAATCATTTCTCCTCACCTGTTTTAAATCTGCCCCTTATCCTAAATCTATCACCTCTCCCCACCCCTGCATTAAGTGACGTGGGTTCAAGTCCCTCTTGCTCCAGGGGCATGTAATAAAAGCTCTGAACGGGTTTATTAGGAAAGCAGGTGAAAGAAAGAAAGCCTATCACTTCTTGGGAACTCTCTTGTGGTACACTGGTAGTGTCCCTACTCCTGAACCAGAGGGGCCTGGGCTCAAGTCCCACCTGCTCCAGAGGTGTGTAATAACATCTCTGAACAGTCTGATTAGGAAAATAGCCTCCAGGTAAGGGAACATCCTCTCTATGTCTTCGTCAATCCCTTTAGCATCTCATATACTTCAATCAGATCTCCTCTCATTCTTCTGAACTTAGTATCAGCCTAAACTGCTCAACCTCTCTTCATAAGACAAAGCCCTCATCTCTGGAATCAATCTAGCAAACTTCCTCTGAACTACCTTCAATACTCTTCACCACTCGTCAAGTAAGGGTCCAAATTTATACGCAACACTCCAGGCCTGGTCTGACAAAGCCTTGTACAGTTGCAGCAAAACTTCCCAGCTTTCATACTGTGTCCTTTTGGCAACAGATGTGAACACTGCCTTCTTTATTACACTGCTGTACCTGCATGTTAGTTTTCTGCACCGTGCGCACGAGGACACCCAGATCCCTCTGCACCGTAGCACTCAGAAGTTTCTCCATTTAGATAATAAGGTGCCTTTCCATTCCTCCGACCTTATTCACATTAAAGTTCATCTGCTAAAGTTTGGCCCAATCACCTGAGCTCTCCACATCCATTCGTAAACTTCTTTATTGCAACTTACTTTCCCACCTATTTTAGTGCAAATTTGGCTACGGCACCTGCTATCCCCACATCTAAGTCATCAGTATTGACTGTAAATAGCTGGGGCCTGAGGACTGAATCCTGTAGCACCCCACTACTAACATCCTCCCAACGAGGAAAAAATCTACTTATTCTGACTCTCTGTGTTGCTGAAGATCATGAATAGATCCAGGATGCGATGGGACAATCTAAGGCTCTAAAAGTTGTTGATTGAAATAGCACATACATACTCAAGTAATATTCAGTCTTGTGCACAAGTTAATTCCTAACATTTGGCCAAAACAAATCCGAGCTCTCTGCTTGGCAGTGAACTCAAAACCAAATCGATCTCACACCCACTTGACAGATTCTGGATCATCGTTATTGGTGGTCCCTCGCAGACAAAGACGACTCTCTTCTGCTCTCAGGGTGAGTCTGTAGGGGGCTGTACAGACTGATGGTGCTACCACAGGCTCTGTTAACACTTGGAGCAGGTGGTGGGTCACAGGAAGAGGTGGGTGGAGCGTCGCTCCTTTCACTGTTTCCGCCCGGCTTCCATTTCTCTTCCTAGCAGCAAGGTTCCAGGAGCTCGACGCCTTCCCGGATGCTGCTCCTCCACTTTGGATGATCTTGGGCCAGTGACTCCCAGGTGTCTGTGGGAAAGACGTACTTGCCTAGCAAGGCCTTGAGGGTATCACAGAAGCGTTTCCTCTGTCCACCTGGGGCTTGCCTGCCGTTTCAAAGCTGGAAAGTAGAGCACCTGCTCGGGGAGACCTCGTGTCGGTCACGTGAACGATGGGCCCAGGCCATCACAGCTGAGCAATGGTGGTCAGTGCCTGGATGCTGGCACATTGGCCTGGTCGAGGATGTTGGTGTTGGTGTTGGTGTTGGTGCATCTTTCCACTCAGCAGACTCACAGGATCTCACGCAGGCAGCGTCGGGTGGACGTGGACTGTCGACAGCAGATGCCTCAAAAACACTGGAGCATTACCACCAACGCCGCCTGCACAAGATCCTGAATGGCATACCATCGAAAGGCGGCCATTCAGCCCCTTGTGTCTGCACATGTCAACATGCGATGTCAAGGCTCCTGCCTCAGTGGGTGCACCAATCCCACGCTAATTCGGCAACGTTGCCTTAAGGAAGGACAACCGATACGCAGCACATTTCAAACCGAGAATATACGGTGGACAAATAACTAGAAAGATGTGGAAGAAAAACATTTTGAGACGGGATTAAGCTTCCCACCCAGCGAGCAGGAATAAATGAGCGAGCAGAGGGAAGCCTAGTGCGTGACAAAATGAAGTTGCAAAACACATCCGTGAAAAATCGCCAGAAAACGGTCTCTCAGCTGCTTGAGGATCTATCAGAATCTTCTCCCTGAAACAAACAGCAGAATGCAGGTTTTTAAAGCCAGCTCTGGATAGTGCTGAAGGTTTCTGTAGAGAAACAATTTTGCACTGCAACAGAAGACCAAGATTCCACAGGATCTCCCAACAGAATCTGACAACAGAGTTATTGCATTTTCAGCCATTTGTATCGAAGCACCGGCTAAAGAAGAGATACTGCATTCGGGATGTGGCGCAGACTCTGGAAATTTAACAGGCCAGCCTGTCAGCTGTGAAGAGAAAGCCGGTGCTAATGAAGGCAACTGGCAATGAAAGAACCAGAATCACCGTCGAGCTACTGTGCTTATCAGACAAGACAAAGCTACACAAACACACACACACACACAGAGAGAGAGAGAGAGAGAGAGAGAGAAATTGCTGGAGGAACTCAGTTGGTCTGGCAGCATCTGTGGAGAGAGAAACAAGAGTTCCTGCTTCAAGTCATGTGCGACTCTCATTCAGAGCAAGATTATTTAATTTATTTCAACAAAAGATTGTTTCAACACAAGGTTTAAACTGCTGGTGTTAAGCAAGATCAGTAATTCCCAAAAGGAGTGGTTGGTGATGTTCACAATAAGGGAAGGAGGGACAGATGAGGGAAGATTCAGACTGGGGGATCACCTCTTTGACTAGGGCATGGTCAGAACGCACTTGTCGTTGATTTATTATTTCACCATACCTAGGTACATGATACAAAGTTGTGTTTTGCATGCAGTAGAAGCAGATCATACCAAACAAAGTGCATTAAGGTGATAGGACAGAGTGAGGAAAGCAACGTTACAGCTGCAGAGAAGGTGCACAGAGAGAGAGATCAACATGAAATTTAACATTTGAGAGGTCCATCCAGAAATCTAGTAACAGCAGGGAAGAAGCTGTTCTTGAATCCGTTGGTATGGGTGTGTTTAAGCTTTTGTAGCTTCTGCCTGACAGAAGAGGTTGGAAGAGATTATAACTGGGGTGGGAGGGGTCTTTGATTATGTTGGCTGCCTCTACGAGGCAGTGAGAAGTGTAGATGGAGTTAATGGATGGAAGGTTGGTTTGCACAATGGACTGGGCTATGTTCACAACGCTCTGTAATTTCTTATGGTCCAGGGCAGAGCAGTTGCTGTACCAAGCTGTGATGCATCCAAATAGATACACCACAAAAAGCATTCTATGAAAATTGGTAAGTGTCTTTATGGGCAGTGATTCTTGGTGGTCCAACTAGCCTTGTTCAACCACAGGACACCCCTGCAAATAGTTTCTTCAAGGGTAGTTTGAGAAAAACGTGGAACGACTGACTGGAAACAACATTGACCAAGGGAGGTACAGGCTCTGATGTTTGCAATCCTGGCTGAATGGATTGCAGAGGCCTGAGGTAAGATCAGAACACAGAAGGCCATTAAATCATGACAGAAACACACCTGATGGCACAGATGATTTTGTTTTTGCTGAAATGATTTGGATGGTGGTGAAATGATGGCTGAGGAAGATGCTGTTGATGATCAATGGGATCATGCAGGAAGCAGGGGAAAGGCATCTGCTTCTGAAGATGATGGAGTAATTCATACAGATTTTAAATACACAATCAGTACGTGTTCTGCTACACTTTTCTATAGCTTGAAAAGAACCTGAATGAAATGGATTAGGTTTGGACATATTGCTTTTGTTTATCATGACATTACAATACACAAGGTAGATCTACCTCCACAAAAGCTACTTAAATTATAATACACTGCTTCTAGGGGGTGGGGCTGGCTAAGTATCCTTTCCACCAGACAAGACTGTGATAGCAAGACCATGGGTTCTTAATCTCATCAAAATATTGCTCATGTAAAAGTCAACTTCTATTTTATCAAGGAAACAATTACACTCATTTGTGCCGGTTGTACCAGCAGGAAGTGGCTCCGGCCCACCCGGTCAGAGCCCAATGCATTGGCCGGCCCCTTCTGGGGAAAACAGCGCAAACCTCCAACAGCCCTGGGTTCAGGGACAGGGGGAGACCGGCTGCAGGGGACAGACGATCAGTGACCCATGAGAGCACACAATGCTGCCTGTCACAGTCAGGCAAAATGTGTTTCAAATCCCTTCAAAAACCTCCCTATCTCTGTCACCTCCTCCAGGCCCCTACACCCCCTCCCTACCTGTGCCACCTCCTCCAAGCCCCTACACCCCCTCCCTACCTGTGTCACCTCCTCCAGGCCCCTAC